TTTTTGTTTGTTACTATGTCCCTTAGAGAAGCTCAACTATTAAAGTGACCATATGAGAACTACTGTGCAGCTTTTATCATCATCTGAAATTAGCAGGAACGCTGAGGAACACATGAACTTCTGCTGATAGGAATCAGTGACACCTGGCTCTCCAGGCCCTGAAGATTAAAGTCCTCCTCACATGGTTCAAGTGCAGCTCCAGGGGCTGCTGTATGTAACCAAGAGTCCCCAGCACACATCAGCACAGCTCACTTTCATTTGCCTCAGTCTGTTCCCCATTACCCAGCTGTGGAGGTTAAATATCCTGTAAGCTGCTGTACTCCTGCACACTGATGCAGCAGGTATGGAGGAACAAGTCTAGACATATAGGCCGATGTCTTTCGACTGTCTAGCAAATGTGCAGTGGGCTCCAGGAGCCCGGAGAAAGGGGTAGTTCAGTTCAATAAGCTTTCGGCCTGCATGACCTGACACGACAACATCATCTGTCAAATGGAGGCCAAAAAGTATTTTGTGGAACCTAAGTAGGTGATAGTGAGGAGAAGTTTTTGTGTGGGGTGGTGAGAACAAGTGGGGAGTCTTAGAAAGTGATCAAGGAATAAACCAAACTCTGGCTACATGCACTAGTGACTGACAGTGAGTGTGATTACTGGAAAGGATAAAAATAAAGGCGAGGATGGGTTAAAGATGACACTGTTGGCTCAGGACGGCCTGGAGGCAGGTGGTGACAAGTGATGTGACACAGTTAAGAGGAGGAAGAGGAGGAGGAACCAAACTTTCTGTCAGTTTACTTAAGGCAAGAGAATTTAGAGGGTTTAGAACAAAAGACAAAAACACATACATGAACAATCCTGCATATCTCAGCTTACCTGCTCTTGATGTGCAAAACAATGTGACAAGCAGCAGCAGCAGCAGCCACGTCTCCCGCACTGGACTCCATCGATCCATCATATCTCATCTGCAGATACTGCTACTGATATTGATACTGACGAGGCGGCCAATAATTCCCTCGTGGCTCCGGTGCGCTCCACGTGCAACCAAAAGGACCTTCTGCTCCGCACCACAGAGATTTATCAGTCTGCAAAGCGCGTCGCCTCCGTGCGTCTTTGCGCGCACTCCGACAGCTGGCAATTAAGAGCGCGCGTACATGGAAGCGGATTGGAGTGATGGTGACTCTGTGCGTCCTGCTCTCTGCTGTTTCACCGCTGCATGGACGGATGAAGACGACCAACCTGCGGGGGAGGACAAAAAAAGAGAAAGGAAACCTTAATCTGGGAAGGTGTTTTCTCTTGCACCCGCACAGAACTTTCCTCACTTTCTCTCCCCCTCTCCTCCCCCTCTCCTCCCCTCTCCGGGGCGACCCCTCCCCTCCCCTCCCCTCCCTCCTCAGACTGCTGGGGCTGTGCTGAAACATAATTACTGCGTGGGTCATTATTAGCATCATCATTGTCTGAGTGATTTAAGAGACTGTGTGATGCCTCTGTCTGTCGCGGAAACGTGCATAAAGTTACCATATTGGCTGTCACGCACATGCGCCGGAGCAGATCTGCGTTTTGTTTCAATGCTCAGATGCAAACCTTCTTGCAAATGTTTTTTTTTTCTCTATAGGACTTAATAGAAAACATACAACATGAACAGTGAAGGCTTGTGCCACTTAACATTTGCAGCTCTCTCAGTTTCACTCCAAAGCAGCGCGCAAAGCAGGCAGAGACACACACACACACACACACACACACTCGCTCTCTCTCCGTCTCTCTCTCACATGCAGCATGCTAGAACAGGACAACGGTGCTGCCCAACTAATAAAAATATGCTGCTGCAGATTCCAAATTCCAGTGCCTGTCTGTCTTTGCCCACCCAACTCTCTCTTCAAACATATACACACACACACACACACACCACACTCTTCATATATGCACAATAAAAAAAAAAGAAGCCTAAAACCTGCCTCTCCACCTCTCATTTCAGGGTTTACCATTTGTTAAATCTCTAATGTGGAAAAGTCAAAAAGAAAGCTCACTGGAAGTTTTTTAAGAAAACAGAAGTTTATGGGTGAACATGGCTGAGAGAATCTGAAGTCAGTGCATGCACACACACGCACCCACGTCCCTGTCCTCCCTCCTACATTTACATTCGTCTCTATTGTCCAAGAGGATGTCTCTTTACTGCTTTTTATTAGGATCACGTGCGTGCTGAGGCAAATCTGACCTACATTTGAAAGGACATAACATGCATGCATGGGTTCTATTAGATATGTAGGATTTTACTACTCTTGACAGGGTAATTTAATGTAAGTATGAGGAATGAATAAGTGCTCCTGGTGTGATCTGATGGCATCTCGCAGCAGCAATTTGCAAAAAAAAAAAAAAGTTGTCATGACATATATTCTCTTTTTGTGATGAGCATTAAGGCAGAAGAATGAAAGCTTTCTTGCCTGCAACTAACGCACAGATGCACAAACTAGTCTGCGTTTTTGTGAATGGAGAGAAATGGCCTCATTTGGGGACTTTTAGCATTTCTTCAGCTCCAGGTTATAAGATTTAAGAGAAAAAAAAAACATTTTAATGTGATGTACAATGATTATTAGCGGTCCATGTTTTGGTAACGGCAGTGTTTTGGAAACAAAAGTAAATTGGATTCAGGCGTATATACATACAGACTTTTATCTGAAAAAGAAAATAGCTTCCAGGCATATTTCCTAAGTCCCTACATTCTGCTGCAAGTTGTCTTATACTTGTGACTGGCAGCTACAATCCTGTGTGTGTGTGTGTGTGTGTGTGTGTGTGTGTGTGTGCGTGTATGAAAAACATACAGAGAGAGATTTAGCTATTACTTTTGTGTAGCATGTGTTTCATCTGTTTTACTTGTCTTAATTAAAGGTGTCTCTTCGCATAGAAAGGGCCTTAGGGTGGTGAAAAGAAATGAAGCATGATCCAACAGAAATCTATGCATTTTTACATTATTTCTGAAGATGGGATGAACAAAAATTTCAAATGTACTTAAGTAAAAAAAAAAAAAAAAACAATTACCAAAACTTATAAAAAAATAAATTATATATAAATTTGGCACTTGCAAAAACACTCCTCTATGGGGGCTTGCTAAAATCTCTTTGGTGGGAGTAGCAAACATTCCTCTATGCAGGAAAAAACAAACCCTACTAATTAGAGATTTCTGACTGTGATTCTGCCAAAAGTACAAGTGCAGATTTCAGGGGGTCCAGCGGAGATACGCCACCTTCAGTATTTAGAACACATGTACTTGTCCCACCCACTAGAAACATGAAAGAAGCACTTTTATTTGGAAAAACTGTAACAAGGTTTACTCATAGATGCAACAATGCATGTATGAAAAAAAGCTTTCTTTGTTTTGTTTTTTAGTTCAGTTTATCAAACACAGATATGTGTGATTTTTTTGTAAAGCTATGCATGGTCAGCACATGCTCAGTACATTTTAGAACTTTTCTGTCAGGATTCTTTAAGCCTCTTACATCCTCAGAGCAACAGCTGTGAACTGTCCCATGACTGAGGCTGGTGAGTAATGGAAGACTGAGCCTTTGCAGTAGCAAAGCTCTCCTCTCTTAATCAAATGTTATCTCTTTGTTGGCATTTTCAGTAAAAATTGTCAAGACGTAGATGTTTTCAATGGCTTACAAGTTACACTCACGCTTTACCTATTTTTTATTATTATTATTTTTAGTATTTTCTGTTTATCTTATTTTGTTTTTAAAACAGATTTTACGCATCTTAATGTTGTCTTTCTTTTGCACATATTTTTTATGCTGCCTGTCTGATAACATAAACAGAATTTTAGTCAGTTCGGGTTGTTCTAAAACGTGCCATACAAATTATTTGATTTGATACGTCCAGAATGGGGCTGCAAGGTGTTTCGGTGGTTAGCACCGTTGCCTCGCAGCAAGAAGGTAGCCTGTTCTTTCTGTGTGGAGTCTCCATGTTCTCCCCGTGCAGTGTGGGTTCTCTCCAGGTTCTCTGGCTTCCTCCCACACAGTCCAAAAACATGTTGAGGTTAATTGGTGATTCTAAATTGTCCGCAAGTGTGAATGTGAGTGTGCTTGGTTGTCTGTCTCTAAGTGTCCAGGGTGTCCCCTGCCTCCACCCTGAGTCGGCTGGGATAGACTCCAGCCCCCCACGACCCTATTGAGGATTAAGCGGTGTATAGATAATAGATGGATGGATGTCCAGAATGTGAAGAAAATGTTAAACATGAGCAGAAATTGCTGAAATATTTACACATTATTGTATTATACAGGTTTATAAATTAATTAAGATTAATTTATTTATCAGTTACTTCCCAATACACAACAAAAGAGTAAGTCCATCTTATGTGTTTATTCAGAAGTGATGATGAAAATGGAAAAGCTGATGTACAGGAGAGCAATCATTTAAATGCAATACAGACTGCCTGCAGGTCTTAGTGCTTTCATTATCCTCTGAATTATCACTTGGTGCCTGACTTTAGTGTTTTACATAAATAACGACATTTCCAGAATTTTTTTTTAAAGGCATCAAATGTGTGTAAATATTCACTAGAATGCAGGAATTTAGTGAGGATGCAAGAGTGTTATGTTTAATACTGTCATATTTCTTTAGTTTAGAACAGTAGAAGTAATCCCTTCATAGAAATACTGAGTCATTTGAAGAATAATCTTATGAACCACCAGGCGGCGCCACATCTCTTCACAGACACTGACAGCTACATGACACCAACTTTTTTGTTGTTGATCAGTCCAGTTAATTAGGTTTTTTGTCAATCACTTCAGGCCTCAGGCCTCATATTTCCACCTTTCACAGCTATGCCTGGTCCTGATTAGTTTTTCTGTGATATTATTTTACCACCACTGAGCTTCAGATAATCCTGTTGCATTGCGGCTGTGCGCGCTTGTCCATGTGACCCTGTCAGTGTGTTTTATCCTCTTACAGTCACCTCAGATCTCCACTCATCCTCCACAGCTCGGTTTGGCAGCAGAGCGGACAGGCGGCGGAGCCATGGCGAGTCCCGGACAGAAAGTGGTGCTGATCACCGGCTGCTCCTCCGGTATCGGCCTGAGGATGGCCGTGATGCTGGCCAAGGATGAGCAGAAGCGCTATCATGGTGAGTCTATGACACAGAGAATGAGGACTGAATTTAGTTTGCATCGTGTGGCATATAAATAGACTGTAGTTACACTGCAAAGCTCACTGAGAAGAAAAACTGCTCAATAACAGAGAAATATACTCTCTAACAAAATAATACAACTAATAATAATAATACTAAAGATAATAATAACAGCTTTATCCTCTGCTGTCTTCTTCTATAATGACAACACATAAGGTGATTACATCATGAGTGCAGTGTAAGAGTGTTACATGGTACACATGACTATGAAGATTAAACAACTGTCTGTCTCTGTGCATCTGACTGCACAACAGAGGAGTGAATTAAAGTGGAGATGCTGTTTCCAGTGTAAACCACCAACAAGCCTTAAAGTGAGTGTAAATGAGGATTTAATTTGGACAGAACAAGTGTGAATCAGGAAAACAGCTGTATAACCTACTGAAAACCTGAAAAGGAAACTCCCTGGCCTGCCGTTTCAGAGGTCAGAGGTCACACTCAGCTGACTGACAGAACCATGAAATCATCTCGTAACTAGAAGCCACATGTCTGTCAAATAATAGGCTAACATCAACTATCTGATTTTAATTAATTGCTGTTCAGTTTTCAAGGCTTCCCTTACTTTTACAGGAAATGTTACATATAAATCGAGAAAAGTCTGACATAGTTTGGAAAAGTCGGAACATGCACGAGGTCTGAGCCTCACACTCCCAAAGCTGCATCGTTTCTATCAGCCATAAAGTAAGACCAGTTTCAGACAACTAGTCTCAGTCTTAATAAAGTCACAAATGTTATAGACGACTGTAATCAGTTAACCAGGATGTGTCACTTGCAGAAAAATATCCAAAGTCTGGAAAACAGATCTCCGAAGCACCGACAATATAATAAACACGTGTGCCAGGATGCCAGGAAGCAGCTTTTCTCAGTCGTAAATAGAGTAAAACACAAGTTTTGCCACTGAGAAATTAAGTCAATGAGGTATTGGACCATATTTAATCCAAACTGAGGCTGTGTTCATGCCTCCAAAAGCTGCCTCCCACTGGCCGTCTGTTCCATCCAAACCCTCCTCCACTTTGGTATAAAAACACTACAGCATTTTATACAGACTGTATTATTCCATCTGCACCATAAGGTTCAAAACATACAACACAGTAAAGATGGTAACAAAAGACAAAAGTCAAAATGGGCTTCCTTTACTCATATGGAGACTTTACCAGCACCAGTAAATGTAGACTTAACTTTCACCGTTAACCGTCATGCAAATCACTCTGTATACATTTCTTCTGCTGTTTCAGGTATCCACTGCTCTCCGCTAACGTCGGTGTTATATTCAAATCTGTTACGCTGCAGTACCACATAATGTAACGCCAATGCCGTTATAACACTCAAGCAAGCTTCACGTGTGCTAATTGATGTTTACGGCGTTAAAGCTATTCATAGCGTGCGTTTAAAAACAGTCGGTGAAGCACGTTTGTAGCTCTTATCGGAGGCCACGCCAGGCTATGTTGAGATTACTGGGTGTTCTGCTTTCATTAAAGTACTAGATTAAGTTTTCCAGCTCATCACACGTCCCTGCAGACCGACACAGTTACAGTATACCTCTGATCCCAACTTGACCCTTTGCTGCTTTTAAGGCAGCAGACCAAAGGTGAAAGCCGCAGCACAGCCTTGTTTGGGCTATTTACTGCCCGGCTAGTAGATCTGCACTGTGGATGACGGGCTGGTGAGGGTTATTCCCGGAGCAGGCAGGGCTAATACTGGTAAACTGGTTACTCTAACAGGACTGTTTACGATCGCTGAGAGCTACTTAAGGTTTATCTTTACTGTTCTGGCTATCTTTAGTCCACTGTTATTTCACAACGCGACCTCAGGGGGGAAAAAAAAAACAAACCTGCCTACAGTCAGGAAAAAGATGTTTGTGAGCAGTTTCCTTTGATATCCGTATGTGTGCTTCACCCTCCATTTTTTCCTACTATTCTTTGCCCCAGTGACTATATTCTGGTTGCACCTTCCTCATAGTTCTTGATGACCTGTGCTCCATATACTTCCTGTAAAGCGGGAGCAGTCAGGATGGAAATTATCACCTCAAAACTCCACAAACAACCGTGTGCCTAAAGACAGCATGTGAATTGATGCTGCACTAGGGCCTTGGCAGTTCTTCAAAATGTTTAATATGAAGTCAATACGCCACAACACAATATTTGTTTCCCCACATATAACCTGAGCCAGTGAACTTAGCGTGGCACTGCATATTTTGTCTGTATCTAACCTCATGTACCCGGGCAGGCTGCCTGATCATCTATTTACAGCAGCCGCCTGGAGGGGTGGTTGCGGGAAGGGAGTGTTAAATCCATTCACAAACTCCCACTTGGAAGCTGTCCATGGAAAAAAAAGAAGAAACATAATTATGTCTGAGGCTATTTTGGCAAACCGCACTGATGAAAGGGGGTAACACCTGTACACAGAAATGGCCTGATGAAGGTTTGGTTGGAATTAAAGAATTTAAATTCGCAGTTACAAGTCAGATATTTTCATTAAAGTGCCTCATTGTGGTTCAGTGTCTTGCAAAAGGGAACTCTGACAGTAGTGTTATTATTCAAACAGTTAACGTGAATGTGGCCCAGTGGAGCAGTAATTTGGTTCCAGGCTCTCAACGTGTTTATGTCCTTTGCCTCAATAATAATGATTAGTATGATAACGCACAGAGATGCTGCACAACGTGTCTTTTCCCAAATTCATACAAACAGTACTTACATAATAATACTTACTGTGTCTCCTTGTCACCCCCCCGTCTGCAGTAATAGCCACGATGCGTGATCTGAAACGCAAAGACAAGCTGGTGGAAGCTGCAGGGGACGCCTATGGGAAAACTCTCTCTCTGGCTGTACTGGACGTCTGCAACGAGGAGTCGGTCAAACAGTGCATTAACGGCATCAAAGATCGACACGTGGACGTCCTCAGTGAGTAACAGCTTCTTCAGCATGCTCTGCCACGGATGGTTACGACATCTAAAACTGATTTCCTTCCTCTCCTGTGCAGTCAACAACGCAGGTATCGGCCTGGTGGGTCCAGTGGAGAGCATCCCCATTGAAGAGATGAAGAAAGTTTTTGAGACCAATTTCTTCGGGGTGATCCGCATGATCAAGGAGGTGATGCCTGACATGAAGAAGAGGAAAGGAGGACACATCATCGTGGTCAGCAGTGTGATGGGACTGCAAGGTGAGCAGGGAGAGGAGGCGTTAAACGATACAGGGAGTAAATAACAGGTTTGTCTGCTTCAGGCTGATGGATGGGTTGGTGGACGATCGGAGGTGTGGATGGATGAGGAGGCTGATATAGTTTAAATAGAAGTGTCTGTCTTCACTAAGAAGGATGAAACTCTTCCTGTCACGACCAAATGGAAGTTGCGCTGTGTTTGTCTAGGGGTGGTGTTTAACGACGTGTACGCAGCTTCCAAGTTTGCCATGGAGGGCTTCTGTGAGAGTCTGGCTGTGCAACTCTTGAAGTTTAATGTCACGTGAGTGCCTCTGATGTTTTCTATCACTGTTCATAAAGCAGTAACATACAATGGGGGGATACACTGAGGAAAAAGATTCATAGAAAGTCTGTTGAAAGGTCACTAAATCTCTAAATTCTAATTTTAACACGAGTGCTGTCCTCTTGCCTGAGAAAGCCTTCCGTCTAATCCACGGCCTTTTGTTGACCTCCAGTCCTCTGATGTTCCTGATTGGTAGCTTGACTCTCTCCTCAGATTGTCACTGATTGAGCCGGGCCCGGTGCACACAGAGTTCGAAGCGAAGATGATTCAGGATGTGAAACAGAAGGAGTATCCTGGAGCTGATGCTGACACAGTGAATTACTTCAAAAATGTCTATCTTCCTTCCTCTGTGGACATCTTTGAGACACTGGGACAAACGCCTGATGACATTGCCAGAGTAAGTCTCTGACTCAGCTTCACTGTATCTGATCTTTCGGACTGCACTGCTGATTATTTCTATAATTCTGATTACAAACTGTGTGTCTTCTCCTGCAGTGCACCAAGAAAGTGATTGAAGCGAGCAGCCCGCGTTTCCGTAACCTGACCAACCCGCTGTACACGCCCATCGTAGCACTGAAATACGCTGATGAAACCGGAGGCCTGTCTGTCCACGCCTTCTACCACATGCTCTTTAACCTGGGTCCTCTGATGCACGTCAGCATGACCGCCATGAAGTACCTCACCTGTGGATGTCTGAGGAGCAGGACAGTTTCACCAAACTAGAAATCAGCGGGCACTGTCCCTCAATAAAGACCACACTCTACCTCGGTTTTGTTGCCAGAGGATCATGAAAACCGTATTAATACTAATATTACCTGCCCAGAGTATTCTACGTCACTTTGTCACAAATGAAAAAACTTCTCTAGCAAATCTATCCATAACTGAACAGGTTCCCAGAGTTGATCTTGCCATATTTCCTGCTGTATATGCAGTCTGTATTGTAATGAGCAGTCTTGTCTGTATTCTCTTTTGTGTAGCATTGTAGCTTATAAATGTGCAGATCCCTCAGCTCAGTCCAGATGAGTTTAAATATTACAGATTTTAAGATTTGTCATCATACCCAGAGTGCCAAATGAGTAGGTTTGGACTTATGATACAAGATATTGTCGTCTGATTTCCAGAATCAGAATTAGGTTCAGAAATAATTCATCCCTGAGGGGAAATTACTTAATTGCTCAGTATTTTATCCCAGTTGGTCCAAGGCAAGTTGTCATTTTAGAATATGTTAAACAGTAGTAATTGGCTCAGATAGACAGCTCTACATGTTGTTCATTTGTAGTCTACAAATCTTTGTACATATTTTTCAAATAATGTCAGTGCATTGGAGCAACTATTTTGGCATTAAAAATTGTAATTTATACCTTCAGAGATTGTATCAGTGCTTCTGACAACAATTCTTATTACACTTTTAGAAAAGAAGTGCATTAAACTACCCAATCAGAAATTGCTGCGCCCTCATTTATAAATTACAGAGGATTTTAAATTAATAAACATTAGCATATCCATAGAAAATAAGCAAAAAAATGTATAAAAATGACTTACATAAGGTAAAGAGTTGGTTAGTTACTTCTGTGAAACAGTCATTGAGAAATTCTTTTCATTTATGGCCAGTTTTGTTTTGTTTTTTTGTTATTTTTGATGACAAGCTGAATTCTCCTCGGCATGTAGGACACAAGACTTCAGGAGAGATGTTCTGCTATTCTTCATTCTGCAGAGACTGCTTTTTCAGGTGTTCTTTGCGGAAGGGGTTGTGTTGCTGTACCTTTCTTGTCACAGTACATCAGAGGCGTTCTATTGGATTCAAGTCAGGCGACAAACTCGTCCAGGCCATAGTTGTCACTTAACTCACAGAAACTCTTGTGTGATTTTGGCTTTGTTCTTTGAATCATTATGATGCTGGAATATTCCTCTTCTGCCAAGCTTCTGCAGACTGGGAGTCATCCTGTCAGCCAGTATTTTGATATATCCACAGGTGTTCATGGTATCATCTATAGTCATTATATCCCCAACACATTTTGCACTCACGCAGCCACATATATCACACTCCCACCTCCGTGCTCTGCTGTCAGGACTATGCAGTCACTGTGGCAGTCCAGGCCAAGTTCACAGCAAACATGCTGGACCTCATCTGAACCAAACAAACTAATATTGGATTCCCTCGAGAAAAGAATGTGCTCCCAACATTTATCACACTTCTTCTTACGTTTTTTTAGCAACGTGTAACCTTGCAGTTTTGTGCAAGGTTTTTTTTCTTTCTTGGATGCTGTCCATAGACATTATGCAATACCCTTCACACTGTCTGAGCTGTGTCACAGAAACTCTGATCTCAACTGACACCCTCTGTGCCAAGCCTGATGCACCTGATAGTGTTTTTCAGAGACTGTGAGAGTAGTGCAATGTCTGTAGTGCTATTTTAGAGGGACAACCACAATACCTGTGGTTAGTGGTATTATGATTCAACCTCCTGATATATGGCATACCTACATTCAGTCGTCCTCAAAGTTATTCATACCCTCCCATTAAAGAAAGAAAAAAACAGCTGTCACTGAAATAAGTTGAAATTGACAAAAGTAATAATAAATATAAATTTAATGAAAATCATGACATTGCTTTTGAATTGTGATTCAACAGAAATAAACAAGCAAACAAGCATGATGGGACCCGTGAACTAATATTTAGTTGAACAACCCTTTGAGGCAATCATTGTAATCAAGTGTTTTCTGTAACTCTCAATCAGACTTCTGCACCTGTTGACAGGTATTTTGACCCACTGCTCATCAGCTAAGTGCTCTAATGTGTCTGTGATATATATTTTTTTTCAATAATTATTTTCAACCACAATTCAAAAGCAATGTCTTATTTCACTACATTATAATTTAGGACATTTTTATTTATTATTACTTTCTGCAGTTTCTAGTTATTTGAGTGACTTGTGTGAATTTTGCCTTTTCTTTAATGGAAGGGTCTGAATAGATTTGAAGACGACTGCACCTACAATAAGGCAACTTGTAATTTTAACTGTTAAGTGGAGTAAAAGCTATTAATATGTTTTAGAAGGTTTCTCGAGGTTCATGTGACAGCTTGATACAGCTCTTCTCCTTTAATTCATGTTTTAGGAAGTTTTAAGTGGAAGGAATATGACTGGTGAAACCTTTTTGGCGCAACTAGGAACTAAACTTTTGAGTATTTCAATGAGTCAAACTTTAAAATAAACGTTTCCTGAACAGGTGGAGGCGCTTAAAGTCTGTATTAACCATTAGCATGAGCTACATTAAAAAAACAGCAAACTTAACTTAAAACATAACTTTACCTGTTGGTCAACGTTAATGTTCCCGTGAGCTTTATATATATATATTTTTTAAAACGTAGCAAAAGGGGGTTATGTTCGAAGTGTCTATAACCTTTTTTTCTTTTTTGTTAGTATTACTACTTAAGTATTAGCTTACGGTTTAATAAAATGCTACTTGTTTGATTTGAAGCGGCCGGAAGTCTGTCCGTCACTTAAAGTCTTCCGATGTGTGCAGCAGCAGAAATGCTCCGTGCAGCTAACGAACGTCCAGCCGCCTGTGGTTCAGTGTAGAAGCAGGTTCATCGGACCATGAAGCGCTGGTTGGGTGGATAAAACTCCTGAAAAAAACCCTGCTGACCATGAGTGGGGCTGTGTGCGGACTTGCGGAGGACATGGACCGACAAATTGTGAAGGTTCGTGGCCTGACAAACCTCGGCGACACATTCATAGTTTGCAGCGCAGAGCACAGCAAGTGAACTAACGCTAGCTAATGTTAACGGTGGTTGGGTAATTCGAGGTTTCACGCAAATTTCCTTTAACTTTAAACCAAGTTTGGTTAATACACACAGACAGGACGATACAGTGACATGTGGTGTGGTTTTCTTTGCTCACCGGCTAGGCTAACACAAACATTATCTGCAGATGTATTTGTACACTAAACAGTCAGATGCGTTTGCTAGTGGTAATACTTACTGAAGATTGTTTGTACTTTCTAATAACTACATTTTAATTTCTGTGTGTATATAGTAACACACACTCCTTGTACTGTGGCGCTGTATTTTTTTTTTTTAAACTTTATTTATTAGCATAGTAGCTAGTGTTGTCACTTCCTAATTAAAGTATTGCACTTTGTGTTTCTACTAAATAATGCTTCAGCAGTAAATGTCTTGTGTAAGCGATGTCATATTCCTATCATAATAACCAGAAAGGAAAGCCTGTTTTGGGCAAATCCAATAAATTTCACTATAAAACAAATATCTGACATGAGTGTGAAAATTATATTTTTTTAAAAAAACAGTACAGCCAGAAAACAGTCCTGCTAATTAGTTGTAGTATCTGATGCTAGTATCATTAATAATATCTTGATAGTTCATTCCAAATGAATACACAGATGGTCTAAAAGCACCTGACAGTGACGACGTTTGCTGTCTGTTTCAGGCTGTATGTGATGAGGACACGATGTCTTGTACCCGCATGGGGATGTCAGATTTGCCCGATGAGATCCTGCTGTGCATCCTCCGCCATGTTCCAGTGTGTGACCTGCTGATGAACGTGGCAAACGTCTGCCACAAGTTACACACACTGTGCCACGACAAGACCCTTCTCACAAACGTCAACCTGTCTGAGGAGTATCAGGTAAACCATCAGTTTTCTGTAAATCTTCAAATTCATGTATGTGTGTAACTTTCCTTATATTTTAAAAACATTTATTTTACATTTTGACATCTAAACATGACAGTGGAAATGTAAACTTTGTTCATGTCTTTATTGTCTCCAGGCTGAAGATGTGTTGGTTCGGCAAGTGCTGAAGCAGCTAGCCAATCACGTGCAGTCTCTCAGCCTGAACGGTTGCTACTGGCTGTCTGGTTCTACCCTGGATATCCTTGCACGCTGCAGAGGAGTGACCGACCTTGATGTCACCGGCTGTCGCTTCACTCCCCCTCGCCTGTCCCGTCTCCTCTCCTCCCTCTCTATGCTCAAATCACTTGCTTTTGATGTGACGGCTGACTTCAACTCACTTCTGCTCACTTCAGAAGCGGTGGACACCCTGAGCCGCCTGTCAGAGCTCAGGCAGACTCTGTTCACACCGAGTTACGGCGTGGTGCCATGCTGTGCCCAACTCCGCAAGTAAGAATCTGTCAGATTATTAGGATTTCATGAGGCGTGTGTCCAGAATCTTCAAGTTGTCGTCACTGTGTTAGTCACCGCAGACACAAGTTAGAAGAATTACACAGAGACAAACTTGCGCAGAGCTTGTTTCAGAGACATCGCTCTTTAACGGTGATTGTGTCATACCAGAATACAGCCACCTTAATGTATTTAATCCACTGGTAGAGTTTAACAACACTGTGTATCTTTATACTGTAGGCTGATGCTGCAGTTCGACATCCCAGACGTGACCAGAGAGGGTGTCGGTGTTTGCTGTCAGTTAATGGTTGGTCAGAGCAGTGTGCCACATTACCAACAGCTGGAGGAGTTTACCGCCAGACTGGCTCCAGGAGAGGTGAGTTTGTTAATCTGGGCATATGATACCTCTCCTCATATATCTGCAGTATCAGTACACTAATTAATGTATCTGTTTATTAATGTTTGTAGGTAAACCAGACCTTGCTCCTTCTCTACCTGGCGGTGTTCAGTGTTCACGTTCCAAAGCGCCTCAGAGTTTTCCTCGTTTCGATTCCTGGCCCAAACCCTGCTCGCTGGCCGGCTGCTCCCTCACTGGCTCAGAGTTTGGGTCAACACGGGGACCTGGTGGCCCTGCAGCTCCCTCGGTCCTGGCTAGATTCTTTGTCACTGAAGCGAGCTCTGGAGGGAAACAGCCCCAAGCACCTTAGCTTTAGCCGCTGCCCGGCGTTATGGCCTCAGGTGTTCCAGTCGCTGCTGGATGGAGGAGTCAGAGATGCCACAGAGCTGATCAGTCTGAACCTCAGTGGGATCAACCATGTTCCTTACTCAGAGTGCAGGAGCGTGGAAGATCAGCTGGTTGCTGGGACAATGAGGCAGTTGGCAGTTGGCTGTTCCAACCTTCAACACCTGAACCTGATGCACACACATTATCATCACGGAAACTCACCTGGACTGGATGAGGGAACACACCTGTGTGCCAGCTTGGCCAAACTCGGTCACCTGCACTCTCTTACTCTGCCTGCCTGCGCTCTGTCAGATGGCCTAAACACAAATCACATCTCGACACACAACACCCCTCCCTCTCCGCTGTTCCAGGGGTTAAAGAAAGTTCCACGTGTGGGCATCCAGAATTACAACCCTGACTCAGAGTCTTCTCTCTCAGGGGACAGCACCTCAGGGCTCACTTTGCTCTTAGCCGGCTGCCCTTTGTTAGAGACTTTTGAACTCATCGGTCCGGGTTTTGCCTCTACACTGCCTCGACTTGAGCCTTGCACTCGTGCCAGCGTGGAGCCTCGTGGTATGTGTGCGTGGGCACGAGGAGTTGGCGACGCGCATATAGCTGCCCTTGGTGCTTTGCCTCGATTGCATCGTCTGACTCTGGCTGGACTTCCTGGGGTTCTCAGGGGGACTGGGCTGGTACAGATGGCAAAGCAGTGCAGAGACCTGCGAGTTTTATCCCTCGCTAATCTGGGATCACTGAAAATCATGAACTACACTCCTGCCTTGTTAGACATGCTTAAACACTGCACACAGCTACAGGAACTCAGGTTAGAAGATGCCTCCGTGTACCACTCATTTACTTTAATAGTACATGCTAACGATAAAATAATTATTTCCAATAATAATTGTCTTTTCCAATAACAGATTTTCTCCCTTTCCAAACACAGCATTTTTAAAATAAATTCATTCTTCTGTTTACTTTGTTGTTTAATTAGCTAATCCTAAAATGTGGACAAACAGTGGTCTCCTACGTAGATTTAGAATCGTTCAATCCTCCAGTAAAGTTTTCTCTTTTGATATGTTATGAGATTTATGTGATAAATTCAGTATCTCTTTCAATCAGCAGATATTGTATTTTTTTATTGGCTAAACAATGCAGTCATATTTTACTATGTAGTTTGAAGTTTTGTTTGTTTAGGTTTTGTCATTCAATATTGTGTTTTAGATCCTGTACAACATATTATAGCGTAGTTTTTTTTATTCTGGGAACAAGTGCAGATCTTTAGTTCGGCTTTTTGTTTTCATATATTGAACCCTGTGTGTGTGTGTGTGTGTGTGTGTGTGTGTGTGTGTGTGTGTGTTTCACAGGTTAGAGCAGCCCTACTTGAATGCCAATGCGTCGTTCTTTGAGGCTCTATCCTGCTGCTCTCGTCTCCAGCGCGTCTGCCTGATCTCGCGTAGCGGCACTTTTGACCCGTCAGCCGTAGAAACCTTCATGGAGCGATGCTGCCACGTCATCATGTGCCACATATTCATGGGCGGCACCTTAGTGGCTTGTCGGACACTGGAGAAAGCTCTGCTAGACAGGTCAGTGATTGTGTTTGGTATGTTTGAAACAGGGGACACAACACTGTTGCTCAGGAGAATTTCACATTTCTGTCTTTCTCCTCTTTTCTTTTTGTTAGATTTTCTGCTGGGCGCTCAGCTCTCAGCGTGGCCATCTATCCGTTACAACATGAAGACCTGCCTTCAGTCATCAGAGATATTCCGCTAACACTTCTGGATCGGATCACTTTGTTTCAGAGCCACGTGGCTCAGCCGCCACATTTATCACCATTGTGACATCACCAGAAAGCTTTAGTGTGATTGGTGCTCAGCAGATGAGGTGCTCAGACTGTTTTTTTTTTTTTTCTTCCTGCAGGAAATAAAATTCACAAATGAAAGAGAATGACTGACGAATTGTCAACGCAAGTCGATTCTTGATTGTGTCATCAACAACGGTTACAGGCTGCTCTACGACAATATGTCAGCCATGATTGTTTACATTCATGTGACAGTAATGATGGTTTTTAAAGGGAAACTTACTTGCTCAGGCTGAAAGAGGTTTATTATTTTAGAGGCCTCAGTCACAAGTCATTTATGTTACTCAGTTAGAAACAAGTGCCAAATATATAAATTGCATATTTGTCCTAAAACTTTGTATCTGAGGCTATGAATTAAAGGACGATGTAATAAACTCTATTTAAATTATTTTTAATCCTTGCCTGTGTACCATTTTTCTGTCCATGTCAAACTGTTACTACAAGTATACAGCAGTAATCCACAGCTGGGCTTGTGTCAAGTAAGCTAAGAGGAATAGTGACATTTTGGGAGATTATTTTCTTTCTTGTTGAGAGTCTAGTGAGAGTATTTGTCTCCTCTTGTTTTGTCTGTACGTTTATTGTTGACTTGGTCGAGGAAAGGTGCAGCACATTTTACACACAGGTGATAGTAGACAAATTTTGTGACCTCTTCCACAAAAATCAGGTCAGCTGTTTGCCTATGTTCAGTCAGCTACACTCAGCTCTGTACTTTGGCAGACAAACATGAGAGTATTCATATAGTTTCTCAGTCATCTGGTTCAAGGCAATCTTATAAGCTTTGGTAAAAAGCAGTGGGGCATCTCGAGGCTCCTCAGCAGTCAGTTAGAATAAAGAAGCATCTTGGATGAGTGGGGAAACGTCTTTAAGATCCTAAAATGAGAAGTCAAGTTGCTTTTTACTCAATCTATTGAGATAGACATGAGAGTGGTGTTAATCTTTACATCTAAGTCTGTGAGAAAGTGATTAAGTCTATCTGCCAAAACTGTGTTAACACATACGCTAGATGAGTTTGGTGACTTTTAATCAGAAATTCATTGCATTTTTGTTACATTAAAGTTAAATATTTTTAGTTCATGTTGAATTTTATTTATTGAAGTGATAAAAGTACAACTTTAATGGAGTACTGTATGTTGTCAATGCATTTAGTAAGACGCTCACAGTTTAGTTAGAAAACTTGTGAATTGTACAATCAGATACAAAGTAACACAACTATAAGTCAGTGATTCTGCAAATTGACATCAAACCTATGGTTTCGTTGACAGAAGAGGTTCGTTAGTGTATTTATATGTACACTTGTATTGCAGTTGTGGTCCAGTCTTCATTTCCTGGTATCAGACCCTGGATAAGGCATTTAAACACACTGGTTTGGATCGTACTCTGCCATGTGTACAGTCAACACAGGTAGTATTTTTGTAGTAGAAAAAAAGTATAATCTACATGCTAAGTATAAAAATAAAAACCTGATTAATGGAACCATGTATTTGGTCTTGTCTTTAATTCCTGGTGATAAAACCTGGATACTTCCAGAATAGTGTAGACATCCACTTTTGTGTAATCGTAAGCAGATACGAACTCCTAATAGAATTCTTTGTATGAGAAGAGAGACGAGTGTAGGAGGGTTTTCAGAGGCTTTTTAAAATCTTAGTGTTTTACTGCAGCTTTGAGTCTATTTGCTGAAGAAGCTCATACATACTTACATAATTAAATAACAGTGTGATTGTAGCACTTGCACACCAACAGACCGGTTTCAGCTTTCTGATCTTCACCTCAGCTTGTCCAGTCACAGCAGCCATACAGGCTGTTCTAAAAGATTTTTAGCATGCCCTTAAAGTATACAAGGAAACTTCACTGACTTGTTGCAAAACATCAGCTTCAGTGATCGATGGCTCGACAATAATTTCGCTAAGATATTGTATTTGACCATCTTGTGGATCGTACTAGTGTACAGTATGATAGATAGATAGATAGATAGATAGATAGATAGATAGATAGATAGACAGATAGATAGATAGATAGATAGATAGATAGATAGATAGATAGATAGATNATAGATAGATAGATAGATAGATAGATAGATAGATAGATAGATAGATAGATAGATAGATAGATAGATAGATAGATAGATAGATAGATAGACAAAAACTTGTGGTCAGGCTGCGGTACCTCTTGCCTGAAGGCAGAAGAGAAAAGAGTGTGTGACAGGGGCAGCGCTGTTGGAGCAAGTCCTCAACAGGTGGCAGCATGACGCCTGCTGCCCTCACCACCCTCCTCAGTGCTGCTGGCATGCCACAGAGAGATGCTGCAGGTGAGCACACTTTCTGTAGAAGGTCGTGAGGACAGATGGGCTGAGATGGGCCTTTTTCAGCCTCCGCAGGTAGTGCAGCCGCCGGTGAACCTTTATTGTCAGGGCTATGTCAGTATTTTAAGGGTGTGTAACAAGACCTCCGGAGAGTACAACTGTGTTTGTAGGGATACAGTCTGGATTTTAGAAACATTCCAGTGCAGCCACAGATACACTTCTGATCAGTTTTACTATAATGAAAACTTTTGTCCACATTATATAAGTTTTTATTTTTTAATTGTTGTATTTTGTGAAATCTTTGCCCCCAGTGTAATTGTACATATACTAATTTAAGGATTTTTTTTCACACTGTCAACAACAGTTTGATTTTAAAAATACTGGTAGCCCCTGATGTTATTTTAATTAAACTGCCCTTTCCATCCAAAAGCAGATACAGACTTTCAAAACATCACAAACAGATCACTTAAAGTGTTAAACTCATTAGAAGCCCCATGACTCGACTAGATTATGTAATTTCTGGATTGTCATGTGGTTAAAAAACATTTGCACAAGGAATTTGAATTTTACTTACTATGTAAATCTCCTGATAGCTTCAGAAATATATGGAAAACTTAAACACAACACAATCAGAAATGTTTATAGATCAGGAACCAACCTGCAGCCAGAAATCATTTACAGGACATTTTTTATTTAGGGACACACACATTAAAAGAAAACAACAAAAAAACAACTTTAAATGCCAGTAGTAAGAAAAAAAAACAGAAGAACTTTGGAGCCCTCTGCTGCCTGAGATAATATGTTGACCTGCTACTATCTGGCTTTACTGGCATTGTGATAATGGTGACTGAAGTCTCTCTTTCACTGTGATATTTACTGCCTGGTTTATTTTTGTCTTGAATCCTTGATGTCAGTGGATTCAGACACTCGAAACTGCTCATGAACTGAAATCAGATGCTGGTAGAACCATCTTTATTTGTTCTCATTATTACTGTAGCCTGTATCTCTGTAGTCTGTGTCGTCTGGAACTTCACCGCCTTCTGATTATTTAACCCAGGAAAAGAGGAAAACATGAACTTTATGACCAGCTGAGGGCAAAATATCAGTGTGTGTGATTTGGGCAACATCCAGGATGTAGCAGCGGCACAGATGCGCTAATATATCACCGATGTAGTCGATCGGAGTATGAAACCTTAATTGCAGTATATGAAGCGTTTTCAACAGTTTATATGACCGTGTAGTAAACAGAAATATTTTTTATTATATTAATTATCATATTATTTCCTTCCAAGTGCCCAAAAAAGTACCAAAACAGAGTATACTCTGATATCTACTATTCAGGTCTGAGCTAGTTTGTTCACAGAAACATCGCGGGTTTACTCAAACGCTAAGAGCTGCGTAGTTACCCTCCAACTAGTTTTGTAAGTTTGCTAAACTTTTTAGTTTTCCTCCCAGAAAAAGAAAAAACCTTGACATGTTTAGTTAGGGTTTATATCAGCAGGATGAGCTGTTAATTATTTTATGACTTACAAACTGAAAGTCGCCCGTATGCCGCCAGCTTAGCAGAGCTAGCGTTTTAAGATGTATTTATGAAACAGCTATTAGCTCCACTAATGTCATATCAGCTGTGTTGTGGCTGCATGTAAGCGGTGTGTTGTGTGTCAGAAACGTGTCGAGTGAGCAACATGGAGCCTAATGTTGGAGATATTCTGCCCTACGAGGACCAGCTGAGGACAACACTTCACTGTGATGACAAGGAGAAGGTAGTTCAGTCTCAACACTACAGTCATATTAGCAATTCGTGCTTTGTTTCCACAAGACAGTGTCTGTCTCTTATTTTCACTCTTATTGGAATCAATGTGGAAAATAGTCTGGCTTTAACAAAGTAAAAGAAGTGGCTTTGAAATTATTACACAGATTTTACCTCACTAATGAATATCTAACCAGATCTGTTGAATGTAAAGATGCCAACTCACTCACCTGTGGTTGAATTGTGTCTTCTCTAGAAAGTTATGGGGAAAAAAATGACCATCTTTATCCAGACTTGCCTGTGAAACGATTTGTCCCTTAAATGGATAACCATTCTGTATAGTTTTATTTTTTATTTTTGACAAAGCTGACTGTGATGAGTTTTACATTATAAATCTTGTTATTTTCTTTGCAAAGTTTCACATTCATTAATATAAATTCCTACACAGTAAACCACTTTTTCTTGTTTTGATGAAAGAATTAAAATCATACATTTTAACCATTTCTAAAAGCACCAACCCCAAAACCATTAGATCCCATCATGCATTTTTAAACTGTAATGTCTTTCTTTAACTGTCACTGTGTTCTCCCCCTGGTATGTTTGTTCTAGTGTTTATTGTTGTTGTTGTTTGTTTTCTGTTTTCTATTTTTGTTTTTAAACATGTATTGTCTCATATTTGTTTCTTTGTCCAACTTCATATCAGATTTGTTTAGCAATAACTGTTTTGTAAGGACAACATGTATTTTTGCACTGTTTTACACTTTATAAATAAAGTTCATTAAAAAACAAAACTACAGTCACATTATGTGCTAACATGAGCCTTGCCGTATTTCTTCTGACATTACTATTGTCATGTTCCCACTCAGCTTCGCAGGAAGTTGGCACAGTTACAGAGGGAGTATCTCAGGACAGCCCAGAGACTACAGGTGAGATGTATGGTCCTTCACTCAGCTTTGATAACTATGATGTACAACGGCTTTGCCTCATATGCATGTTTATCTGCACACAGCGTGCTGAGCGCTTTGAGGCAGTGCGGAGACATGTGAGGAGCAGGATCACTGAGCAGAACCACCAGGACCAGAGAGACCCAGACAGCTCATCCTGTCTCAACCCATCTTCATCGATTCCAAACAACAACAATGCAACAGATCCAGGTGTACCTCAGAGCCAGGGACACACTGAAGGTGAGTCTGTCCTACTGTAGTCTCACATAGCCAGACTAGTCTCTGGCAATGACAGATCTGACCCCCCCTTGTCATTATTCTGTAAATGAAAAAAAGCTCTAGCATGTTTCTTTTCTCTAATCACAGGTGTATTGGGCAGAGCTATGCAAAGGTGTGGTTCTGGTGTTCCCTCAAAAAATGATGGGGGACTTGTTTTGGTAGAACATTTGCAGTGTAGTCAGGCATAATATTAGTAAAGGAGTACGGCTGCTTTATTACACAATCCAGATCTTCAGCAAAACTTGAAAGCTTCAGTGTGGTATGCTGCTGCCAGGGGTTTTGAAAACAGTAACACTTAGATTGCAGAAGGGGAGGAGAAAGCTATGAAATGTGTGACAAGTAGCCAGCTTGTTACCTGCAATGTACATCCAGTGAGTCAGACAAGTCCTAATCTAATGAAATCTCTTTCATAATGCTTGACTGCAGTGATCAAACACCTACACAGTATTACATGGATAAAGCTACACTCGCATAACTGTGTGAATTGGAAAATGCTTTGCCTGTAGTGAAAATTAGAATTCATAAACTATCTGTTGTTTCACCTGCAGATTCTGACAATGCCAGGAGGAGCCAAGTGATTCGGTTCCTGCTCCCCTCTGATGCTGCTTGTCCACAAACCCCAGATCCTTGCCATGATGCATCAAGAGCACACAGACCAAGTCCTGCGCTGCGCCTCAGGTCACGGAGCAGCCGCCTACGCTGGGAGAAGAGGAGTGCTGAGGTTGGCAGGAGCACAGACTACAGCGAAAAACATCAGGAGCAAAGTGAAGGGATGGAAAGTGCTGCAACAACAGAAGAGGAGGAGAAAGTCAATTCAGAGGGAATGAATGTTGCAAATGAAAGTGAAGAACTGTTTTCTAGTACAGAGTCAGAGTCTCCTTCTCTACTGCTTACACACTGGAACAACAATGGGTGCACTGAAACAGGAGATATAGATGTAATGGAGATCCAAGGGCATGAACAACAAAGGCAAAAAGAGACTCATTCAAGAACTGAAGAGAAAAACGAATCAAAGTCAACTGACTTGTTGCTCACATGTTGCAATCTTGAAGAAAGCAGACAAGACGGCACACAAAATGGAAGAATGAAGGAAAAAGAGAGAGTCGAGGATGGTGAGAATAATAGAGAACAGACAGAAAAAAGGCTGTGTGAAGAGAACAGCAGTAAAGACAATAAACAAAACGCAACTGAGAATGAACATGAGAGTAGCGTGCAAGTAAAAGAGGAAAAGAATGGAATCACAGGAGATGGAAACGGTGTGAGCCTTCTCGACTCCTGTACGCTAGTGGAAGGACTACTTTTTCCAGTGGAGTACTACGTTCGAACCACAAGGCGTATGACACTTTCACAGAGCCAGCCTGACATGCAGGCTGTCATCATCTCGCAGCTAAGCATGGGACGAAAACGCAGGAGTCAGGGCCGCGGCAGAGGAATGAGTAGAACCACAAACAATGGTGAACGTTCAGATCAGCACACCCAGATAGATTCCTCCGCTGTGACGCCTGCATCTACATCTGTAGAACCTCTGAAGGTGTCACATGTGCAGAATTTCAGTGCATCTTCCAACCAGAGCTCCAGCGAGATTTTAGATCACATCTACACTGGTCAGATCAACTCAGATGCTTGTTTTTCTCCTATGGCCACCACTGCTCGTCCAACAAGAGGCAGGAGGAGGAAGAGAGGCAGAGGCAGAGGCAGAAGGAGTCCTCAGACCCCACGGTCTTCTCTTGGATTAGACTCTTATCAGCTAAGCTGTGAACAAACCTCAGGTGATCCCCATCCCACCAGCACCCCGGTCTCTTCCTTCAAGCCTCTTCATGGAGCTGATAGACCGAAGCCCTGCCTCCCTCCAGGAGAAACTGTTGCAGTGGCAGATGGATCCCAGCCTGTGTCCACCCTCAGCACTTGTTCCCAGTCTTGTTCTGAATCTAATGGAACTCTATCCAACTCTGCCTACCAACATCAAAGGGATGTCTATCCCATCTTTCTGAAGAACAGTGTCAATGCTAACAAACCCTCACAGATGAACAGAGGTAAGACTGTGAGGGTGGATGTGTGTGAGTCAGAAACCAATTTTGTAGAAGAACTGAAATATAGAAATATAGAAAGCTCCCCCTACAAGTTGACAGGATTGGTTCCTGCCTTTTTTTTCTGTATGAAACCCCAGAAGTCTCCATCTAGTCATCAGCACTCTGCACTTTCAGTGTGGAAATGCTCAGTCATGGCATTGACTGCTTAATTCACTTGTGATGTATCTTCTAGCGTATAAAAAACATCATATGAACATGAGCAGGGTAAGAAAATAGATTTTCATGTGAGCTGGTCTTGAATTGCATGATTGCATAATGATAGTGTGACAACGAACCTGAGATACGGGAACAGGCACTTTAATTTCCACAGCTGGTGGTAATTGAACTTTTTACGAATGACAGTAATTCCCCTGAACATGCTGACAGCAAATATGAATTTACACATTAACGGGGAGTTTTTTTGTGTAACCACAATTTAGCTCATGGTTCCATGCCAAACAATGTCGTAGTTGTCCAAAACCTTTTCAATTTTTTGTAACAATTCTCAGTGTTTCATTGATTAACATGTTCTTTTATTGAGATGAAAACCATCCCAATGATTAAACTCCTTTAGCAGTACAATGAAACATAGTCATGTTGTTCTAAGATGGTGTAGCCTGATCAAAATAATTAAAAGGTGTACAATAAATATCTTTTAAAGTTCTGCTCAAAATCAGCTAAGATAATTTAAAGAGTTCACACTTGTAAAAACACTGTAAACATACTGGAGGAGCACACATAGTGCTAAGAATATTTTCCAGGCAAATTTAATGATCTACTATGCATTGTACATAGGAAGGTGAACAGTCGTAAAAAACAAAAAAAGGCCAGCCTGTCCATTACATTGTCATCCCTGATAGTAGCATGTTCCTGAAGGAATGCCGTGCATCATCTCACCTTCTCTTTATTTCTACTTCAGGTACATCAAGCTGGCGATCTCTCCTCTTGCCCGCCTCTCCACCGGCTCAAACATCTCTTCTTCCTCTCCCTTCTCTGTCCTCTGGACCCCTCCTCAACAGCCTGATGAAATTGGACATCCCCCAAGATTTTCATCTCCCAGATGACCAGTTTGCCTCCCTGAAGCTGCACAAGCTTCGTCAAGTCACCATGGAATCAGGAGTTGAATGTTTCTCATCTCCGTCTTACAACACGCGCAGCAGCAACCGCAGCAGCAGCAGCGACCCGGTGACGCCTCTTCTGCTCCCGCTCAGCCTCACGCCCACTGTTGCTGATGCACCCCATTCAAATGTAGAACAGCGAGCTGATTCACAGCCTGTAGATCTTCCAATTACATCAATAGAACACAAGATTACAGATAAGTTGATAGACCAGCCTGTAAGTGGAGAACCATCTGACCGAGATATTACAGATGAAGAGCAGCAGACTGAAAACCTCCCAGCTGAAACTCACTCCAGCCCAACAGAATCTGCATCAGTGTGTGCTGAGGACCTTGTAGATAAAGGGAATGAAACTGAGACACTGAACAGTTGTAGCCAGAGTAGTCTATCAGTCAGCAGCACACACAGATCTATACAGTATACCCACAAACCACAGCCTCATCTCAACTTTGCAGACAGACCAGCAGTTAATGATAACGTCACTGGACCATCAGCTAAAATACAACAGCCTGCATCAGAAAAACAAACAGATTATTGTTATTTAGACCGTCCCTTAGAGGAACAGAGATCTTTCAGCTCCCAAACAGAAAACCAAGCTGTCATCGAGACTCTTTCTTTTGCATGCTCTCCACAGGAAACGCCTGAGGAGCCGTCTGATAGCTTCACTGCTTTTCACACATGTAATGACACGACAGCTGTACAGGAGTCTCCTGTGACACTTCTGAATGTGAAATCTCCTGCTGAAGATTCAAAAAAACCTCCAGATCACAGTGAAAATCTTTCCACAGACAAGCTAATTGGAAATAAGACCACATGTGTACCGCAGCACAGTGTCCACTCTCAGCTGCTGTTGACTTCTCCTCCAGCTTCAGCGCCCGGACCCTTCATAACCCCACACCTGCCCTCATCCACGCTAACCTCCAGCCTTGCGCTGCCCTCCCTAGGACTCACCCCTCACCCTGTCACCTGCGGCCTCACCTCCTCTCCCTCTGCCCCTTCTCTCACCCTGCCTCCTCCTCATAGTCCATCTACACAGGCTCTCTCTCCTCCAGCTCTCTCTCGCTGTCCGTCCATCACCTCCCTCCCTCCCAGCCAGCCTACTGTCTCCCTCTCCGGTCAGATCCAGGCTTCATGTGAGCCACCAGTTACAGGTGATCAGTGTCACAGGGATGGGCAGGTGAGTCCAAGAACAGAGGAGAAAGAACAGGAACCCACGATGAGATGCACAACCACACTGAAGGTAAAAAAGTGTTTTTTTATGTTGCTGTACCGTAAAGGATATCACTTGACTTAAATTATATGCAGTTTTTAATGAATTAGTATATTTTTGTAAGTGAATTGTGGATGTGTGTGTCTTTAGGCTGCAGCGGGAGGCTCTCTGGTGGATGCATGCTGTTTTCCTGGATCCTCGGGAGGTTTGTGTGTAGCAGCAGCAGGAAAGTGGGCTGTTTGTCTGTGGAGTCAGACTTCAGCATCTGACTGGAACTTAGTGCACACATGGACCTTCAATGAGGTGAGTTTTAATGTATGCCCACATATATGCCTGCATATGACAAGTCTTAAAGGTACACTGTAGGTTTAAACAGTGGGGAGCACTGAAAAGTAATGTTCCACTGACTCGCAGTAGTCTGCTAAAACAGTAGCTTACAAAAGGCAAAGATACTGGATGTAAACAATGTGCACTAGGTTTCAAATTCTTAAAAAAGAGAATGTCCTCTTTAAAGCATTGTTTTTAGGAGCAAAATGGATTTGACATGTTTCTGGTGAGAAACAGTGAATGTAGACAACTACACAGAGAGACATTTGTGCTACAACAGTCAAGATTTGCTGATTAATGGCTTTTCAAATGAAATGACCAGATGCCTTTCTCTGCTTATCATTATTACTGTAATTTAAATACCAATGTGTTTCAGATGGTTAGGCAAAATAAGCAGCTTAAAATTGGAGTCTTGGGGTCTGAGAACTTTATTTTTTTACATTACTCGATTATTGAATAAACACAAAACTTTATAAATTTGCCAGAAGTGGGAATTAGCATTAGCTGCAGTACTATTAATTCAATTTTTATTTATTTATTATAGCTTTACAAACAAATATAGCAAATACAAGAGGAGTTGTGTTACTTAAGGAGAACATGCAGTTGCTGGCAGAATCAGATGCTGAGTAAAATGTACTTCCTGAATGTGTTGTGGGACCAGTTGACTGGGTCAAACATGAATTTTAGTGTGTTATTTATTCATGTATGTGTTTCGTTTGCAGCCAGTGATCAACGTGTTTGCCGTCCCGGATGCTGCTGGGCTGATGTGTGTGACCCTGGGTCAGTTGGAAATCAGAGAAGTGAGGTGAATATGACACAGTGAATGAATTTTACCATTTTAGGTTGGTTTTTGCTGAAGAATTAAGCCTGAAGGTCCACTAAAATACTATTTATTGGACATCTCCAAGTTGGTTTATCAATTTTGTGTGCTGCTTTATTCTGCACTGCTAAATGGTAATGACTTGTTGTGTGTTGTCCATGTGCACAGGCTGCTGTCCTGCTCCAGCCTCGTACAAACACTGTTCTGTGAGGGTGTCATCCAGGCGGTCGTAGGAGTGTCCAAGTCCAGAGTGGTTACCTCCTCCCACTCAGCGACTGGTTCCACTCTGCAGGTGTTTACGCTGTCAGACACCAGCAGGTAACACAGTTTATCTATCCTCCCTCACGTCCTTTCTTAGTGCACACATATCTTAGTGTTTCTTCTCTCTCTCAGCTCACCAAGCTCCCTGCCTCTTGTGTCTCCTGGAGTTTGTGTCGGAGCCCTCGCTCCAGTGGACGGACTCTCCGATGCTCTCATCGGCACAGACGAGGGTGGACACCTCTTTGTCTGGTAAGTAAAACTGAGACGATGACAGGACAAATTTCTTCAGCAAGTCAAAGTGTAGACACCGAAAAAGGAAAAACTGGGGGAGAGAGGGATATGACAGGCCACTGAGAAATATGGAACTGAGGATGGGAAAGATTGACTGAACATCGTAGTGGTACAGCTGATTGGTCTCAGGCTGTACTTACAAAAACTTGACCACATTGTAAACCTGTCAAAAGTCAGTAAGCACACACAGCTGTGCAGGTTTTTGTTTTCTTTACAGCTTGTGAAAGTAACTTGCAAGCCTGAAAATGAGTGAAACGAGAGAGTGAACAAAAGTAGGCAGAAACATGACAAAATGAATTACACGTTGGTACCACTGGAACTTACAAGCTTGTTGTTGCCTTCTAGTATCAAAAAAACATGTTCAGGTTTCAGTGTTAACTGTATCAACATAAACTCCGTATTTCCTTTGACACAGATTAATGTGCAGTACCAGTCATTTTAACTCTTGTAATATCCACCAATAGGACTCACACAGACTGCTGCTGTTTACAGTTCAGTGTTCTTTGTTTGTTTCAGGAATTTGAAGACTGGACAGCTGCTGTCTAGAGTCCTTCTGGGAGATGGTTTATCACACACAGCCTGTCTCAGAGGATACTCGTACTGTGTAGGTAGCCTGTTGTCCTAGAAATGCCTACTTTGTTCTTTAGATTGTACAACGGTATGTTTTCTTGTTTGTTGTTGTGCAGGGAGTGCTGTTTGTCCTGCTGCAGCATCAGTTTTTAAGCTCCCTGGAGGAAGAAGAAAAAGAAGCAAAGATAAAAGATGGGATGCTTTGGGATAAGGAGATGAAGACTGCCTTGTTCTCTTTGGTCGCCATCAATCCTTTGAGTGGAAAATCCATCCTGGCTACGCAGCTGTATCCACCGAAAGCCTGGTCTGGCAGGTGAGATGAGAGCTGAGAAGACAAGATGTATATTTATGCTTTGGGGTCGACTGGTTTGTCCTTTTTTGGGTCTCATACTGACCGACTCAGGGCGAAGGCATGGGACACCCTGGACAGGTCACCAGTCTATCACAGGGCTACACTTAGAGACAGACAACCAAGCACACTCACATTCACACCTATAGATAATTTAGGATCACCAATTAACCTCAACATGTTTTTGGACTGTGTGGGAAGAAGCTGGAGAACCCAGAGAGAACCCACGCTGCACGGGGAGAACATGCAAACTCCACGCAGAAACATCCCGGATCTTCTAGCTGCGAGGCGACGGTGCTAACCACCAAGCCACTTAAAAATGAATATGTTGGTGTCAAAGCTTGTGATTAGCAGACTTTTATGACCCTCCAGTGCTGATAGGTTCTTACTTGTGACATGTAACCAGACAATGCTGTGAGTGGGACAATGTTCAAGAACACAGATTGGTGACTACAGATAGAAGTAGGTGGCTGCCTCAAAACCAAAGCAGCACATTGTTAAATACATTTTTGGCATTTTGTGAGGATCATTGTTTAAAAAACAAACTAAACATCTGGATAATCTGATGAATGCTGACCCGTAGTTTGTACATGTCTGTATGAAAACATTCACACGTTCACCTCTGTGCTCTGCAGGCTGTGTGAAGCCGACGTGAGCTGCTCCAGCGTGGTGGGCCTCAGTCAGAACGGCAGCGTGTGCGTTTGGGAGCTCATCGGTCGGCGGGCGTCACGTATGGTTTGGGCTCCCGAGAGCGACGGCTGGCAGTTGGCTCGATGGGGGGGAGGAGGCACACTGGTGACCGGACATCACAACGGAGATGTGATGTTACACTGCTGCAGTACGAATCAGACTGATCTCCACCACTAAAACAGACGTTAAGATGACTTTTTAATCAAATGTGAAGCTCTTTCTGTCCCTGTGTGACCGTTTACATAAAGATATTAAGATTCTGCAGCATCACATTGGGACATTGTACCCAGTATGGTTTTTAGGTGTATTTGTTTCCCTCATTGAGCTGACACGATTCCCATGGTCGACTATATCGCATTTCAAAAACTTTAGTCTCAGCTTAGCAAACATTCAGGTACAGGTTTGTCTCAACACTCTCTTGGACACTGTGCTTTACAAATACACTGTAAAATGGACATATCTCATGATCTGGTGCCACTGGTAAAGCTTTATCTGAAAACATGAACCGCAGCAAGTCAAAAGTGGTCACTTGTTTTCCTCCTGCCTTTGGAAATTTAATGTTAATAGCGCCTGTTCACATTCACTGTGTAAAGATGTGTAATTTCTGGTGGATTTCCCCGTTTTAAATCACTTTAGCATCAGTCTGAAAACCAGCTTTGTGTTTTATTACTGATACTGCTTTGAATGTTCTTTGTTTATATGCATGCATGTTGTTGTATTTAAAGAAAAAAAAGTGTAACCAAAGTTTATTTTTATATTCAAATTAAACATTTGTGAATTCTGTTGTATTTTCTGCCAGCGTTCATGTTTAAAACAACTCAAGTCGTCCTCAAATGTATTCATAACCTTCCATTAAAGAAAAGGCAAAATTCACAAAAGTCACAAATAACTAGAAACTGAAAAAAGTAATAATAAATAAAAAATTTGCTGAATTATAATTTAGTGAAAAAGACATTGCTGTTGAATTGTGGTTAAAAAGAATTTTAAAAAAACAAAAAAAAACGAACTCCCAGACAAGTTAGAGCACTTTGCTGATGAGCAGTGGGCCAAAATCAAAACACCTATCAACAGGTGCAGAAGTCTGACTGAGAGTTACAGAAAACACTTGATTGCAGTGATTGGCTCAAAGGGTTGTTCAACAACATATTAGTTTACAAGTTTATTTGTTTATTTTAATATTTCTGTTGAACTGCAATTTAAACGCAACAAGTGAAATTAGCCATTCTGTTACATATTTCTTCTCTATTATCCATCCATTATCTATACACCGCTTAATCCTCACTAGGATCACGGGGGCCTGGAGTCTATCCCAGCTGACTCAGGGTGAAGGCAGGGGACACCCTGGACAGGTCACCAGTCTATCACAGGGCCACACTTAGACACAGACAACCAAGCACACTCACATTCACACCTACAGACAATTTAGAATCACCAAGTAAGGAAGCCGGAGAACCCAGAGAGAACCCACACTGCACGGGGAGAACATGCAAACTCCACACAGAAAGATCCTGGGTGTCCTCACTGGGACATGAACCAGCAACTGTCTTGCTGCAAGGCAACGGTGGTAACCACTGATCACCTTGCAGCCCCTTTCTCCATTGTACTAACCACAAATCTCAAAACATGCATGTTTTAAATGACCTTTGGTTGTTCTTATGGGATTATAATTTTGCGATTTCATCTTAATTTTATAAATTGATTTTACAAGTTATCCTGTTCTACCTAGCCTCTTTGATATTCTCTATGTAGTTTTACAAATCAATTTTATAAGTTTCAACCTTTTTTTCAGTTTTTGTCATTGCTCATGTACAGCACATCTTTTGGGTTTCCTCAGGCAATAATGGATTTGCAGTGTTGCCTTTGTGTACAGAAGCCCAAATATCTTAAGCAGAAAATTTCAAAAAAGCACAAATGAATTTGTGTTGATCAAGAGTCTTTATTTAAACTCGGTTAAAATTAAACCATCTTTCCAACATGTATGCATATTCAGCATTATGTACAAGTTTGTACATCTTGTTGACAACAACATCTAAAACAGACTTCTAAAAAGAGTAAAAAGCAACTACAGGAAGAATGTACATGATGAAAATTTATTAACACGGTCCATTTCTCTACATACAACACAGATAAAACAGACAAACTTAGAGAAGCAGACCAGAGAAGTTTCTTTCCACACACAGACAGCTCTCAGCACACATTTTGACCAGTCAGCTTTAGATTTAAAAGCATCATTGATGCATAAACGAATGCAAACAAAGAGGCAGAGAGAACCATGAAAGATCGTTCCAACTTCAAAATGATAAATATGCACAAAGGAGAGACTCGTCTTTTCTTCCTCAACTAATTTGAACGGTCAAACATGTCAGCAGGAACGTGTCTGTCAAAGGTAAGCTTCATTTAGAAGGTTGAAATAAAAGCCGGAGTGAGTTTCTATTAACAGCAGAAAAAAGTGGCTGGCACACTCAAATTCAGTTTGTACAACATATAAAAAGGACTAATTTTCATGGTACAAATCAAAGCTGGGATTAAACATTTACACTGTGACCCTTCAATAAAATACGCTGGATTTTAAAGGTGCGTCCCGTCCTGCGAGAGTTGCAGACAGGGAGAAGTGGCCGTGATTAAAGACAGATGGTGCCTAAAGACCTGGGAAAAGGTGGACTAATGTGCAGCAGTGGAAGTCTTGTTGTCCAACAGTTTCTCCACCATGAGCTTGGCGTAGCGGATGCGGCTGGCCAGCTCCTTACAGCAGCCAAACTCCTCCAGCAGAGAAAGCTTGTAGGTGCGGAAGTCTCGCTTCTCATCGATGTAGGTCACTGCAGCCATCAGCGGACACAGGATCAGCTTCGTGTGATCCTGGAAGAGAGTGGTTAATAAGAACACAAGTTAAGGATTTGTGCTTAAGATGTCATGAGACAGGGAGAAACAAAATGTATTTAACATCTAATGTGAGACAGGTACAAGAGACTAGGTGAGAAGTGATGTGAGGCGTCTCTAACCTGGAAGAAGTTGATCTGAACGGTGCCGTTGGTGAGGTGCAGGACGATGGCACTCTTTGTTCTGAACCACAAGGAGAGGTAAGGCAGCCGAGCCAGCTCATCTCCTTCCCGCCGCGCCATGTTGGCGCCGGCCTTCAGCAGGTGCTCACTCATGTAATTGCGGAAGTATTTCAGCAATGTTATCTACAATGGGAGAGAAATACATGAGTTAGTCCCACAGCAAGGACAGTGGAAAAATTGGACCACTGTCTAAAGATGTATTCACCAAGCATCATGCTAATAACAACACACATTCTAAAACTGAAAGAATAAAACCAAAGGTCCAAGAGAAGGTTTAACTCCTGACCTTCTTGTTGAGGGAGGCAGGGAAAGAGCGCACGCTCAGGTAGGATTCAGCCGCCGTCTTGTCGATGTACTGCAGACTGTCTCCGTCAGCGTACATGATCAGACGAGTGTAATCGTTGAACAGAACACCCACACTGTTGTCACAGAGCTGGTAGCCTGAAATGGAAACAGTTTGAAATAAACTCTCAAAGAGGATATTTTTATACCAGAATATTTACCAGGTTGGAGTCTTCACAGCCATAAAGATAACTGTCAGTGCTCTCTGGTGGACAAGCTATGTTTGACATCACAATACTACAGATGTATATCTGGCATTTCATTACAGCAATTTCTTGTTACTCATTAGCTGACATAAGCCAATAATCTAACTCCAAACAAACTGTTGTCCATACAAAGTTGTATCTTAGCTGTACTTTAAGAGCTCTTTAAAACAAAAGACTAAAAATAAGGTTTATTCTTGTATTTAATTTCGTAAATGGCTTCATTTCCATTTTTTTCCCCCATGAGAGTATAGGAGTAGCCGGCAGGAGGATGTGACGTAAGAGTTTAATGCTTACCCAATCCATATTTATCAGAGTAGTCGACCCATTTGCTGATCCAGAAGATGGGGACACATGCAGGATCCTCTGCCTCCTCTGGAAATACAAAAAGACACAAAATGGCTGTATATAGTGTTGACACAGGCACAAAGAATACACAAACTTGAAATCTGCAACACAGGCTTAAGAAAACAGGAGTCTGCACATACCTTGGCGAATGACTGCCTTCTCAGAGGGCTTGGCGGCGATGATACTGTTAAGCTGCTGCAACATGTCCTTCAGGTGGTTTTCTGATGGTTCAACCTCCCTACGCACAGAATACGAGACAAAACATTTATCTAGAGGAAAATATGACAAGCAACTCTGCACTGTCACATCTGCTTTTTGTGAAATTTTAATTGGGTCTGATTTAACATCAGGAAAAAAAAGTGAGCACTTCCGTCTCAAAAGTTTCACCTTGGCAAAGGCTCGTCCTTCAACTCCAATTTCTCTGTCCCTGCTGGAAAGAGAAATCATTAACATTATTGTAAATGTCACGATAATTTTATAGAAAGTCTCAATTACTATCTCTCTGTGTCATGTGCAACGTCAATATTTTAATCATTTGTAGACTTAAGGCTTCTTTGGTAAATCACACTGCTTGGGACCTTTACCTTTGTTGTTTATCGCAGTCAGGGGGCGTCTCTGGCTGAGCTCTGTGGCCGTGGAGGGGGCGATAGAGAAGCGTGGGGGCACAGTGAGACAAGTAGTGGGCAGACGTAAGGGGATGTATCCGGATGTGAAGAATTCGTCCGCTTGCAGTTCAGTAATGGTGGGCCTCTGGGCGGGATCAGCATGCAGCATCCTCTTGATGAGCGAGGACGCAGCTGGGTTGATGTGCTGCACAGAATTGTGAATTCAGGTTATGAGAGGAGTGAGGGGCAACTTAGCTGAGTCAAAAACAAATACACTTCATGCTGAAGGAACATTGTGTGCTTTGTTAGATCAGCTTACCCAGGGGATGGTGTAGTTGTTCTTCTTGATGCGGTTGTAGGTCTCCTTCAGACAGGAGGTCTCGAATGGGGGCTTACCAACCAACAAAGTGTACCTGAGAGAATACAGACAGGGAGGAGGGTGAGCCGATTGTGCTGCATCATGTGAAATGGTGCAATTTGCAGGTGTGCTTGTGTTTTCAAACTTACAATATACATCCAAGTGACCAGACATCTACTTCATAGCTGTGGCCTTTCTTACAAAGCACTTCAGGTGCGATGTAGTTGGGCGTTCCGCACAAGGTCTTCTTCCGCTCGCCATCAAACTCAATCTTAGTGGCTAAGCCAAAGTCACCTGGACAAGACACACAAATATACACACACGCTTTGGTGAAGCAGCAGATTTTTGTTGAAATTTCCACATAAATGGATGTTAATGTGTTGATTTGAGCTAATTTGAGGAGTGGAAAGTATTCATCCAGGAAGTATGACAAACTGCCGGTGTGAGGGCCGGGGCGTGTCCTGTACTCAACTCCTAAACCAACAGGTTTGTTGGTGAGTATTTATTATCCCTGTATCAAGTAAGACAACAGTATTTTGAGCCAAGTTAAATTCTGAGCACATTACCTATCTTGACGTCCATGTCATCATTGAGGAAGATGTTGCCCAGCTTCAGGTCTCTGTGGATGACCCTGTTGTTGTGCAGGTAGTGGACACCCTTGAGCAGCTGGGTCATGTAGTAGCGGGCTTCGGGCTCAGTGACAGCCTTACGGCGCTTGTGCAGCTCCAGTAGGGACTGAAATAGAAAATAAATTGCATTGATTGGTAGGAGTATTATAAAACAAATTAAATCTGGGATGAAACACTTTAGACCAAGTTGTTGAAGTAGGACTCAAAAAGGCAATGTGGCAGTAATGCAGCCATTAAAGGAGATATAATGTGGATTATTTTGATTAAAACTCAAAACATTGCCAACACTGAATGAGTTTTGGTAAAATTGTGAGCTTAGTATTTAAGGATTATTTTAAGATGTGATCATGTTCAGAAGTCCATTGACTTTTCTCACAGTTTAAGCTCCTACAGCACACTGGTGGACAACGGAAGAGACCGCCGTGTTAACCGTCGGCCCTCAGCAGTTTGCTCATCGGTGTGAACGGATGTGTGTTCTCTCTTTACTCACCCTTCTCCTGCAGATTTCCAGGACAACAAAGACAAAGTCCTCGTCCTCGAAAAAGCCGTGGAAGCCCACGATGTTCGGGTGGTTCAGACTCTTGTGAATGGCGATTTCCGAGGTCATCTTCTCCCTCTGGTGCTGCTTCAGGATCAGGGACTTGGGCACTATTTTGCCAGCGAAAACCTGCTTCGTCTCCACATCTGTGATTTCGTAGCATTTCGCGAAACCACCTTTTCCGAGGAATCTTCCCCTCGTGTATCTTCTCATGGTGCGTGGGTCAACCAGAATATCTGGGATTTCTTTAAGAGGTGCCGATTTCGGGTCGACATGTGCCGACGGATTCGCCGGCTTTGCGATACCAGCACTCATTTTGGATTAAAGTACTCTTCGGCGTCTTTAAAAAGAAACGTTCAAAAGCGTTCAGCAGTCGAGTTATCGATAGTAGCTGCAAGGGTCAAACTATTGTTAACCCCACCACAACCGACGTTAGTTTAGCCCTGGAAGCTAGCTTGCTCCATACACTTCTGAATTTAAATCAAAACTCACGTTAGCACACTTCAGACGCGAACTTTAAATAAACATTTGATTAGAAGATAAAAAATGCAATGCATGCGAATCTCAAAATGTACGAAAACCTGCGGTGGACGTTAAAATGATCGCCAGACTCGTCCCTCGGTGGCTGCAGCGTTACTCCGTTCTGCCTTTTGACAACAGTCTCTGGTACAAAGTTTAAAATGCTGCCTGGGTCTGAACGGCGCTCTCTGATTGGTCCGTCCGATTTGAATTCCACGGCGTTGCCGCAAGGCATCATGGGAAGATCGTTGCAAATGTAGCCAATCGCTGAACGAGTAAGCCGCATTCCGTGACGTGATTGGCTGAATGCCGGCTGCTGGTGACTCATGTGTTGCTTAACAAGTGCTGATGGGAAATGTAGTCGGAGAGGGTTTTAATCACAACGTGCAGCATGCATAAGCACAAGTGAATTATGTACTGGAATAAAAGTGACAACGGTACGGTGTAGCATGCTCAGTGTTACTATAGTGGAAACAGATTCAATACTTTAGTAAAAATTACAAAATATACCAAACAGTGAAAAGGGAAAGTCGGCTGCTCTGTCTCAACAGCAGTGTGGATTCACCTGTTGTTTACTGGTCATCAGTAAAATAAGTCTATTGAAGTGCTGTGCTTGCATACAGTTTTAGATGTACGAGATTAAACGCTTCACTCTCTACATTTTGGTAGGACATCTTGCTTTTCAGATTTTACATAGGTTTGTCAGAGATTAATCTACACAATAGCAATAGAATTATAATGCTGGTCTAGAAGAATTCTATTCTAATATGTAATAATATAACACTGACAAGCCCGGTCTGCAGTTATACTTGAGGTAAATTCACTGTTAAAATCATATAGCCCACTGTCAGCTCTGGACTTATGTGTTTGCCTATGAAGGTCCTTAGATTTTATTTACAAATGCTTTTGATTTTTAAAGTTATAGGAACTATACCTGCATTTAACTGTTATTATTGTTACTACTACTGCTACTTCTACTACTACTGCAACTACTACTAATAATGTCAATAACAGAAACTTGAATAAAAGTGAACATTCCAGTAATAATTTTAAAATGTCACTTATAAAATCAAAATACACAGCTTATGAAATAGCTTTAATTTACAGTCCAGGGGCCTCATTTGTCATTTGTGTGTAGAAAAGGTTCTAAATCCTGTTGTATGCATGAAATTTAGAATGTGCGTAAGTACAAAAAAAATCTGTATTTATCAAACAGGCGTACATGGGTCGTATATGGCAAGCCCGTTTAACATTTATTTGCTTGTCTGGATATGTAATACAGATATCCGCAATTCAATTAGTCCTAGTCAAAATGAACATTACAGATATCCACAATGACATTATTCCTATCCACAATTGTAATTACAGATATCCATTATGTAATTCCTCCTTGGACGAATGACGTCACTTTCTTCATTGATGTGTCCAGGGTTTCTCATAACAGATATCTTTAATTCAATTATGGATATCCACAATGTGAGATGTGGATCTCTGCAACTAAATTCTGACAATCCTTAATCCCATTTTGAGATATCCACCATTTCATTCTGACTAGTCACAATTCCAAATCAAGATATCTTCAACTCCCCTCCACTAAAGATATCTGTAATGGCATTTGTAGATATCTGTAACTACGTTTTACCTAGTCAAAATGACGTTATAGATATCTTGAACTGGAATTACGTCTAGTCAGAACGAAATAGTAGATATCTGAAACTAGATTT